TAAATACTTAACATTTCACTTTTTAGGTAGATTAAAGTTGAAGCAGAATGTCATAAGCAAGGATGGTGTGCTGAATAAAGATGATTTATTAAGTGGATGGAGCCTTTAGCTGATCCCTTCCTGTGATTGGCTGTTGTGTGAATGTCAACAAAGAATATCTACCAATGATATGCCATTTATTATGCACCCCATACCACTTGTGGGCGGAGCTTGGAACCTCCTACCCGAGCACAACCCGCCTTATGGGTTGCTGTTTGGCTATTTGTAGTGCGTTGGAAAAAAAGAGATGGCGTTAGTTGTATTTTCTGGGGTAATTTGTTATAAGTGTAATTTGATGTCAACAGATGGCGTAAGCTGTACCTTATGGCCACTGTTGACCAGCCAGTCGATAGTGTTCTCTTCTGCCGACAGATGGCATCAGCTGTATTATTATTATTTTTATAATATTATTACAGTAATAATAATGTATTATTATTAATTTAAACACTGATCTATACGTCTGGTAGCTTATAATAAGGTTTTATACCGTGCTGGTATTAGGTAACTAGAATTCTGCAATTACTTTTTTTTATCTACTGTTGAGGATATGTAAGACAAATGTAAGGTTTTGAGGCTAAGTAACGAAGATAGTTACAAGATACGAGCCAGATGGTGTTGAGATTGCAAAAGGGATTATGATAAGAACTTAAGCCAAAAAATCAATGCATAAATGTTCGCAAATATGAGACTGGGATTTATTTCTCGAAAAGTTAGCAATAAAATACGCTTTCTAGTTCTTTATTTTTAAAATTAAGACCAGGGATTCTGTCTAACGAAGCTGCAAGCTAAAACACCGTTATCCTATAATGTTCATCTGTAGCTTGACCCTAAATACTCGTTTATTAAACGAATTTATTGTTAGAGTTCATTAGGAATCAACTTTGTTGAAGGCAGAGTTTCCAACAAATACCTTCCTGTGATTGGCTGTTGCGGGGAATGCCAACGCTTATATGAATAAAATGCAAAATAAGAAATACGTCCTTTTGCTCAATAACCTTGTTGTTGTACAAAAGAACAACAATTTCTGTTTTATACAAGACAGAAATTTCCATCTAACTGAATAATGTAGACCAATAAGAGGGCGGAGGCATTGTATCGCCGATATTATTTGTGTGAGGCAACACCCACTGCAGATGACGTCACAAGTTAGGTAGCCAGCCCATGTTTCTGTAACACTCGTTACATCCTGCAGTATTTAATTATCACTATATTAATACTTTTAAATACTTAACATTTCACTTTTTAGGTAGATTAAAGTTGAAACAGAATGTCATAAGCAAGGATGGTGTGCTGAATAAAGATGATTTATTAAGTGGATGGCACCTATAGCTGATCCCTTCCTGTGATTGGCTGTTGTGTGAATGTCAACAAAGAGTTTCTACCAATGATATGCCATTTATTATGCACCCCATACCATCTTGGGGCGGAGCTAGGAACCTCCTACCCGAGCACAACAACCCGCCTTATGGGTTGCTGTTTGGCTATTTATAGTGCGTTGGAAAAAAACAGAGATGGCGTTAGTTGTATTTTGTGGGGTAATTTGTTATAAGTGTAATGTGATGTCAACAGATGGCGTAAGCTGTATCTTATGGCCACTGTTGACCAGCCAGTTGATAGTGTTCTCTTCTACCGACAGATGGCATTAGCTGTGTTATTATTACTTCCGAATTCCCTTTAAACACTGATCTACAAATCCCTTGGCTTATGATAAGGTTTTATACCATATATGATAAGTATTAGATAACTGGAGTTCTGCAATTACTTTTATTTATCAACTGTTCAGGATATCATCATATAACGTCTGGTTAGGACGTACTGCTCTCGATTGATGAAGATTAAGCCACCCAAGAGGTGGCACGGGCATGAATAGCCCGTAAATACTGCTCTCGTAATATTATTCAGGGGGGGTGGGGCAACTATCAAGTGAAAGCGCCAAGTCATTACGACTATATAGCACTCGGAAGGGATCAGGATACGGATTTGGGATGGAACGGGGAAAAGGAATGGTGCCCAACTTCTTGGGCGGTCGGGGATTGAACGCGGACCTGTAGGAAATCGCTCTACCGTCAAGCCCAAGTGGTTAAGCGTAATATTATTAAAACAACAATTTATGCATATAATAACAGCATTTCACACTAAAAATACTTGGATATATTGAAATATGGTAGTGAATTCCAAACTAGGAATCTCCTATGACTAAACTGTACTTTTTAATCATTTTTATTTACTTACTACTTATTATTAAATTATTAAATACTTACTATAATAATTAAATAAATTATTTTATTTAATATTTAAATTAAATGATAAAATAATAGGTAATAATAAATCATTGTGTAGGGGGACAGGCAGCCAGTGTATATATACATGTTAGGCTTATACCAAGGCCCCACAAAGGCACCACAAAGGTGCCAAATTAAAGACTGGGTGCTGCCGGGGCGGGCCCAAGGGCTGCTGGCGGCCCTGGCCAGGCTCAACTTCCGCGCCCTTATAATCACCATTGTTTAATAATCTTCACAGGGAGAAACAACTGTAAATATAGGAATAGTTTATTACAACATACACGGTAAAGAAAACAGCTCGGAAACTAAGGAAATAAAGCTGCCGAAAAAACATTAAAGTCCACTTCAAGTTCAAGTATGTTTATTGAGACAATAAAAAAATACATCTCAAAGGGATAGAGTAGCTTAGGCTATTTCTACCCCCTCTACTTCAAGTCCCTCAAGGGGCGCACAAATTCAGTGAGTACAAATACACAAATCACAATACAAGAATCCCATTTAACATAGCAGGTTAAAATAGGAAGCACAGCATATAAGTGTTACAAGTTACAACAAGTCACTTGAACTCCAAACCTTTCCAGATATTCTAAAAAAAAAACGAGAGTAATCCCTGTCCATAAATGTGATGATCCTACTTATGTTAACAACTTCAGACCTATATCAATTCTGCCAAACTTGTCAAAAATATTTGAAAAACTAATCTACAAGCAGCTTTACTCTTATCTAGCCAAACACAATATACTTAGCTCGTGTCAATATGGCTTCAGACCCAAAAAAAGCACTAATAATGCACTTATTAGTATGATTAACTTGATACATGCAGCTCTTGATAAAAATGAGTTACCTATTGGGTTATTTGTGGACCTGCGTAAGGCTTTTGACACTGTCAATCACCAAATCCTTCTTCTTAAATTACATCATTATGGAGTCAGAGTACTCCCTGCAGTACATTAAGTCTTACCTTACTGACAGGCTCCAGAATGTTTCTGTGAATAATTCAATTTCTCCCACCCTACCCATCAACATTAGTGTTCCTCAGGGCAGCATACTTGGCCCTCTCCTCTTTCTCATCTACATTAATGGCCTCCCAAATGCCTCCCAACACCTCAAACCAATTCTATTTGCTGACGACACAACCTTTATTTTCTCCAGTCCTGACCCACTTGCTTTTAATGTCACAATGAATTCTGAGCTAAATAAAGTTCATCTTTGGCTAACTGTCAACAAACTCACCCTCAACATTGACAAAACTTTCTATATTTTGTTTGGCAATAAATCCTCAAATCAAATAAATCTCAGGATAAATAATACCCAAATTTGTAACAAAATAGATGGCAAATTCCTTGGCATTCTCATTGACCACAAGCTGAATTTCCAGGGACACATTCTAAATATATAAAAAAAAGTTTCAAAAACTGTTGGCATTCTTTCTAAGATCAGATATTATGTTAGAATTATTAATCTTACTTTTTCGGTCATATTTAATAATATATATAATATGTGTGTGTGCAGAAATAATATTAATAAAACAATTAACATCGTGTACTGTACTCTATATATCAAAATATATTACTTTGAAACCCGTATCATTCACGCCAAAAACAATTGGGCTACTTTTATTACAAATTCGCTACTTTTAGACCGTCAGCTCGCTACTTTCCGCAATTTGGATCTGGCAACCCTAGTGAGCCATTGTAGCAGGGTTCGAGCCCCGGGTCAGGACGGAACGACCGGTCACCATACAGGCTGACTCCATACACAGTTTCAAATGTAGATATGACAAAGCCCAATAGGCTCCAGGATCTGTACACCAGTGTTGATTAACAGTTGAGAAGCGAGACCAAAGATCCGAAGCTCAACCCCCCACAAGCACATCTAGGTGAGTGAGTGAGTACACTAAACTACATTACATAAATCATATACAAACTCTTACTTATTTTTTATATTGATTCAAGTGGGCTGCGGAAACGCTGTGCGTGTATATTACCAGGAATGTATATTACCACTTAATCACCAGCACATGTCCTTTCGCAACCCATAATTGTACCTTTTCGTATTAATAAACCAATAAATATATAAATTTACGTTGGAATTAGTTATAATAAAACTAGTTCTTATATTTTCAATAAAATAGTGCTATTAGGAGTGTTTATTTTTTTTTATTCTCAGAAGATATCAGGTCACTGTATTATATATACACAAATAACACTACTGTAATATAAGACAAATACAGTATATGGAATTTTCTGAATATAGTCACACTCTCTCAAGGTATTCTTTACACACCCATATGTATTTATGTACATATATTTTATGTTTAAATTGTGAGACATGCTGACAATGTGTGCTGGGAAGAAGTGGTCGCAAATTCCTGGTTTCCTTTGAAGGCCAAACATCATGTTCTCATATAAGCCTTATTCATTCATGATTTCCACTTTCACAAAAGCCTTTTAAATCACGTCTGTGTTCGTCTGCCGGGGCCACTTTCTATTTTCCCTAGTTGATTATATTCAGGACATTATCCTCCGTACACTAAGGTATGAAGATATATTACAGAGGCAACGTTTGATAATGTGCGTTTATGATACGGTTTTGAGATGTGGAAATGATTTAGAGGGGAGAGAAATGGTATAGAAAGGCTTGGGGAATGAGGTGTATGGCAGCCGTGGCTGGGCCACAGCTGATGGTGGCGGGAGACCTCTAGCGTGGGGCTCAGTAAGCAGCTGGTGTGTTGTTGATGGTGGGCTGCTGCTGCTGCTGCTGCTGCTGGAGCTGCTGCTGCTCCCTCACACACACATGTGACCCTCCATGCTCACCTCCTCACTACTCATCACCGACGGCCACTGGAGTGTGAGGGGTGGTGGAGGACGAGTCGTGGTGGGGAGCTGCACCCATAACACGTATATCTGGCCGAGGTTGTGGTGGGCATGACTAGTGTGGTGTGTGCTGGTGTGGGAGCCACACTACACCACCTCCCGCTCCCAATGTGCTCCCTCACACCTATTTCACCTCCACACACTGCGAGAAGATGGTCTCGAACTGTAGCAGAGATCTGTAGCGAGTGATTTGCCAGAGAGGAATCAGTTGCAGATGCCGCTGAAGATTCCGTAATAAGTGGCACTTTTCCTCTGCTTGTATTTCACTACTGACACTTTTTCCAGCCTTTGGACGAGGGTGTGTGTTCCTCGGGGTCTGGAGCACTCTTGGAGACATTTGGTGCCATAGTGGGAACAGTTCTGGAGTGGTGGGTTCAAGCAGTGGGTGCAGCCCCGATACAGTGATCTAAAGTCTTGCAAGTTGTACCACCTGGGTTGTTGTCTTTGATCTACTCGGGCTCCTTAACTCGGTACAACAGTCTCAGCGATGGTCTTAGACGGGGAGAGTGTGAGGCGGTAGAAGGTAGTCATGATGAAGGGTGTTGAAGAGGCACTCATTTGGTGAGTGCACGCACACGCACACGCGGGTGGGACCTCTCATCTTCACCTGCGTCAGTTGAAGGTGAGTGAGTGTGTGTGTGGCCTTAATGTTGTCTATACTTAGTTCTAACCAGTTATTGTCTCCTCATACATGCCCCATACATAATTATTAATTAATATTTATAGGTATATATATATATATATATATATATTATATATATATATATAATATGTGGACCCTACACATTTATACATGTTTACTGGTGTGTATATATATATATAAAGTACGTAAATGCAGGCGATGAGTCACAATATCGTGGCTGAAGTATGTTGACCAGACCACACACACTAGAAGTTGAAGGGACGACGACGTTTCGGTCCGTCCTGGACCATTCTCATGTCACAATCGACTTGAGAATGGTCCAGGACGGACCGAAACGTCGTCGTCCCTTCAACTTCTAGTGTGTGGTCTGGTCAACAAGTACGTAAATGTTTAATAATTGCAGATGAATATAATATTTATATTTGTGTACGTTTTTTATCCAGGATGGTTGCATGAAACATACCAACTTCCAATTATAGCAATTTATGTACAACATTTAAGATTGACTACCATCTGAAAATACATATAATGTAATATGCATTTTTAAGTGAATAATAATTTATCAAAAATATATAAATAAAGTTGTATATCAAATCTTTTTCAAATGTTTCACGTTGTAGTGAAATCAATCATCGTATCCATCGCGTTCCGTACGATTAAAGGGGGGTTAGGTAAATCTTAAGAGTGGTGAACCCACATTTATAAATGTCTGTTTCTGCATGGAAGCTTGAACGGGAGACATCTCCCGTCACGCAGGGTGCAGTCGCACCTCCACAGATCTCCAGTATCAGCTAATAATACTGGTAATGGCTCAAAAGGGGCACCACTTACAGGCTATTCATGCCCGTGCCGCCTTTTGGGTGGCTTAATCTTCATCATCAATCATGGAAGCTTGGTATACAGGTGTCTTCTGTGTATACAGGTGTCTTCATAGTGTGTATTCCTGATGATGTCACGTTGCTGACGAAACATCGAACAATAAAGAGGAATGATTGTAATGTATTGTTTCATCACACTCTGGACAGTGGAAGGTATTTACGTAGAATGGAAAGTATTCACAAGACAAAACGTCGCAATGATATTGTTTAAATCAATTAATAATGTGTATTAGCAGCTCATCCTCCTGTTTTGGTAGTACTTATAGTAACGATGACGGCCATACTATATATATACCGACGTACAACGGAATTAGAAAGTAGAAATTTGAACTATTGAATTGGACAAACTGGAAAGCTATTTTTTCACTTGTGTTGCTTACACAAACTAACCTAACCTTCCTAGGCCTATGTATAATATCTGATATAGTGCTTATGTGTGCTATACTAGGCCTAGGAATATTGAAGCTTGGTTTTTAGCTTCACTTTAAAATAATTCCTTATATATGCAGGCGTGTGACTGTCCGTGTGACTGTCACAGAAATAGGGACTGTCAAAAGGAAGTCCCCTGCATGGGGAGCACCCACAGCTGTGAGATGCACACCATCACTGTGTTGTTACTGCCTCCAGCAAAGCTGTGGCATCTTTGTTTACAATACAATATTGTCCCAGCTGGATATATATATATATATATATATATATATATATATATATATATATATATATATATATATATATATATATATATATTAGTATATTTTGGTAGCAGTCTTTCCTGTAGACATATATTATTAAATATGACCGAAAAAGTAAGATTAATAATTCTAACACGAATTTTCTCAATCTTTCGTACATTTCTTTTCACTGTTGGAGGTAAATCAAAAACCAATTCTCCAAAATTCATTTTTATTTCTAGTCTAAAATAATCTAGTCTAAAATAAAAATGAATTTTGGAGAATTGATTTTTGATTTACCTCCAACAGTGAAAAGAAATGTACGAAAGATTGAGAAAATTCGTGTTAGAATTATTAATCTTACTTTTTCGGTCATATTTAATAACAATATATATATATATATATATATATATATATATATATATATATATATATATATATATATATATATATATATATATATATATATATATAAATAATAATTGCGTGAGTGGAAAATATCAGACAATTTAAGGGGGAAATGGATTTGAGAAAGTTAATGTGCAGTTGGTAATGTTGGGGTGAGACGATCAAACCTGTATATGACGGCGTTTGGTTTTAAGTTGAAAAATGGAGTGAATAAGGAACGATGCCGTAGTACAACTGTCAGGCTGTTGAGCAGGAAACGCATGCAAAGGCACGCACACCTTTCTTCTCCTTTAGAACATCACAGCTTGGCGTATGAATGCCCAGCCGCCAAAATGTGATGTACTATACAGTAAATGATAGTGGCTTGCGAAATTGACGGGCTGTCCCGTTTTTTGTTTTGGGTCCTCTGGTAGGTTAGGGGAGGATACTCTAAATTGATCGTTTTCGTGACGTTGGGAAACCTTAGGACGTTGATACCTGGTTACTTGGTTGATGGGGTTCTGGGAGTTCTTCTACTCCCCGAGGCCAGACTTGACTTGTGAGAGTTTGGTCTACCAGGCTGTTGCTTGGAGCGGCCCGCAGGCCCACATACCCACCACAGCCCGGTCCGAGGCCAGGCTTGACTTGTGAGAGTTTGGTCCACCAGGCTGTTGCTTGGAGCGGCCCGCAGGCCCACATACCTACCACAGCCAGGTTGGTCCGGCACTCCTTGAAGGAAACAATCTAGTTTCCTCTTGAAGACGTCCACGGTTGGCTGCTTAGTACTGTGTATCATTTTTGTGGTATTGGGAAAGCTGGAGAGGACGGGCGGCACAAAGATGTGATGAGACGCGCAAGAAAGTTGAAATATTGTAAATAGTTAAACAATTTGAAGAAAAATAATTATGGAAATGTAAAGGATAACGAGTTTAAAAAAGTTGAGCGAGGTTATTGTAATAACGGATTTTTTATTGAAAGATAGTTGTGGTAGGAAGAGAGGTTGTGGTGGGTGAGGTGGTGGTAGTGATGGCTACACTGTGTGTATGTGGTCCTAATGTGTACACATACAAGTGTTCATGGGTCTGATGTATTCACCAAGTTGTGTTTGAGGGGGTTGAGCTCTGCACTTTCAGCCCGCCTCTCAACTATCAATCATCTATTACTAACTACTAATTTTTACACACACACGAAGCAGCCCGTAACAGCTGTCTAACTCCCAGGGTACCTGTTTACTACTAGGTAACAAGGGCATCAATGTGAAAGAAACTGCCGATTTTGTTTCTCGCCGGCGCCGGGAATCGAACCCCGGTCCACAGGATTACGTGTACAGCGTGCTGTCCACTCAGCCACCAGCGACGCTGTGTGCAAATACAAGTGTTCACGGTTCTGATATGTGGAAATGTATATGTAGATTCAGTGGATCAGAAACTAGGGCTGACACAGGTGTTGTTAATGTGACGAAACTGCCTCAAATTAGAATATTATACGTGAATTGCACCGCTTTCAGCCCAGCGATGGCAATATTGCACTCAAACTTGAGCAAGTAAGCTCCACAAGTTGAGAATATTGACGAACCCGCAAGATAACCTAAGTTTAAGGGTTGGTAAAGTTGATGTTCTTTGATAAAACTGTTCACTCCAGACAGTTAAGCAAGTTTCAACTGCATCTGGGTACAAGTGACTGGATGAACAACCCAGCTGGTTTTCACTTACAGGATGAATAAAGCCACACAATACTATCACTTTGGCGGTATGTTCACTCACAGGATGAGTGGCGCTGCCCAATACTGTCGCTATGGCAGTATGTTCACTCACAGGATAAGTGACGCTGCCCAATACTGTCACTATGGCGGTATATTCACTCACAAGATGAGTGACGCTACCCAATACTGTCACTATGGCGGTATATTCAATCACAGGATGAATAGCGCTGTCCCAATCAATTCGCCCTTCAGGACAAATTTTGTTGTTGAAATCACAACTTGTCTAATTAATTCATTTGAAGCTGAGCACGCAATGGCAACAATGGTATTAATTATCTCACAATATATTCTGTATAATAAAAACAAGTCACATCGAATAAAACAGTATTCTTAAGTGTGTTGAGACAAATTCAAGGAAAATAATTTCAGGTTACTTTTTGTAGCCTAACGGAAAGATGATCAATAGACAGGGAAGATAACTCAGATAATGATAACACACACATGTCATTACCGAGAGAAGATACAATCAGTAAGGAGAACACGCAACTAGCTAGTGTAAGGGTAGGAAACACAAATTGGACGTGTTGATAATGAAAGAGGAAATGGTAACGAGTAAGGGGGTGACCGGTTTGGGAATACTATCTACGCATTAGCATATACATTATTTCTCCCTGTGGAACACGCTTCCGTTGTGTGGGGGGGGCTTCATGCTCCCATGGCCCAGAAAAGGCAGTAAAAGTTGTTTTGGCTCTTCACTTAGGGCTAAAGGATACGGAACGGACTTATTTATCCCTGAAGACGCCTAGCCTGGAAGGCCAATATTGCACACGAGAGGCTAGCTTAAGTTCTATTCTCTTGCGTCATGAATATGATCTTCAGGATCGCTATCTTCACCACCATGATCACCATCACCACCACTACCATGTGCAGCCTCGTTATCAATGCCACCTTCAACGTTATTACCCGTATGCGCATCAAATACCTCCTCCCTCCCTCCCTCCCTCCACTACCAGCATTGCTGCCACCTGCATCTTTATTAGAACCCAAATGCAAACAACTGAAGTATCGTCACCACCACAAGTGCTAATATCACCATCATTCCGACCACCACTAATACCACCACAAGCGCGAGTATCACCACTACTACCACCACCCCTACCACTGCTACCACCACCATCAGCACCACAATATACCGTGTCAAAGTGTCGTGCAGTGTTGCCATTAGAGTGAAACATGCACCAACTTTTAGCCAGATAAGAGCCCAGCGCCTTCTCTTAATGTTTTGTTTCTTCCTCACCGGGTTATCTCTTATAATACTGTCCAAGGCGCCGCACCAACTCTTGCAAGGGTCAAAGCAAGTCGCTATATACTAGCGGTACAGATATATAGCAACTTAATATGGCTTAAATTGGCGTCGACCTAATATATCCTAACACACACACAGATCACACTAACGTGATGCATCAAATGAACAATTGCTCCCGGACGCAGGTTCGAATCCTCGTCACGGCCCTTGTGGATTTGTTCTTTAATATATCCTATCTTGTCCTAGGCTAATTTGAACTAATACACTACAACCTAACTATAGGCTGCTAATGTTAAGGCTACTAATGCAACTTATGTACCCCTTGGTGTCCTCCCTACTAATGCAACTTATGTACCCCTTGGTGTCCTCCCTACTAATGCAACTTATGTACCCCTTGGTGTCCTCCCTACTAATGCAACTTATGTACCCCTTGGTGTCCTCCCTACTAATGCAACTTATGTACCCCTTGGTGTCCTCCCTTATATATAATATTATATAATGCACTGCCCAGCATTAACACATCAATATCAACACTGTAAAGGGATGATAGCCAATTTAAACAGTTTCTCATTTGCTGCCTGACGGCTAATTTAAAAACGTGAAATGATCGATAGGCTAATTATTTATTCCCGTACATTATTGACCGTCTTAAATCGGAATTTGTGAACATAAATAAAGTTGAATGACAGCCACAATAAACTTTCATGATCCTATTTTAATAATTGATGCTTAATTTAAATATGCAAATTCATAGCCTACTAGAAATATATTTTGTTTAGTAATTTATTTTAAAGTTAAGCTTTAGTAAGTGCATGGCCCCGTAATATTGCCAAAGTATAATACAATAAATATTTAAAAATTCTGCAAATTTTCCCATAAAACGTAGAGGGAGGGTTGCAAATGACTTTGTAGATTTCTTAACTTAAACTCCAACAATTATAGTATCATTAGGATACTAAATATGAACTACTGTATCAACAAAACTTTGGTACGATAGTTTTAGACGTTAGGTACGACCGTGAGAACGGGCTGAGTAAACACCCGACCCATCATATGTGAGTGGCAACACACACACCCGACCATCATATGTGAGTGGCAACACACACACCCGACCTTCATATGTGAGTGGCAACACACACACCCGACCATCATATGTGAGTGGCAACACACACCCGACCATCATATGTGAGTGGCAACACACACACCCGACCATCATATGTGAGTGGCAACACACACACCCGACCGTCATATGTGAGTGGTGACACACCCGACCCATCATATGAGAGTGGTGAAACACCTGACCCATCATATGTGAGTGGCAGCACACACACCCGACCATCATATGTGAGTGGCAACACACACCAGACCCATCATATGTGAGTGACAGCACACACACCAGACCCATCATATGTGAGTGGCAGCACACACATCCAACTCATCATATGTGAGTGGCAGCACACACACCAGACCCATCATATGTGAGTGGTAGCACACACACCAGACCCATCATATGTGAGTGGCAGCACACACATCCAACCCATCATATGTGAGTGGCAGCACACACATCCAACCCATCATATGTGAGTGGCAGCACACACATCCAACCCATCATATGTGAGTGGCAGCACACACACCAGACCCATCATATGTGAGTGGCAGCACACACATCCAACCCATCATATGTGAGTGGCAGCACACACACACACCCGACTCATCATGTGTTTACTACCGCCAACATATGACTTACAGCTCATGTGACGAAAGGCCAGATTGCATTATCCGCACTAATTCCCCGAGCCAGACCCGGGTCACGAAGCTCCTTGTAGGGTAGTATTGTGCTCCGGCTGACTTAGGCTGGCGTTTCTCACCACCAGCGCTGCCTAGTAAATAGGATTTAGAATGGAAAGGAATTGCAACCGGGAGTCAGGCTGCGAGCAGCCGCGTCCAACAGCCTGGTTGATCAGTCCAGCAACCAGTAGGCCTGGTCGACGACCGGGCCGCGGGGACGCTAAGCCCCGGAAGCACCTCAAGGTAACCTCAAGGGAGTGCTACTGCCCTGTCACGGATCCTGCAGCCTCTCAGAGACACAAACCGGAGTTTTACACAATTCTCCCATGCACAGAAATCACATATCACGCTATTGTGATTTCTGTGTGTGTTGAAGTAAGGGCAAAGATGTAGAATATCTGGTTGACCGAGCCCGGGTGCATGGGGGAATTGTGTAAAACTCCGGTTTGTGTCTGGGAAAGGCTGCGGGATCCGTGTGAGGGCAGTAGCACTCCTGGTTGCAATTCTTTGTCAAGTCGTGGTGCAGTCGACTAAGGCGCGTCTAGGATCATCCCAGATGTAGGTTCGAACCCTCATCATGGCCCTTGTGGATTTGTTCAGGATTTAGAATGTTTTTTCAAGCGCTGAAGCTGTTACATCAAAAGATGCAGGAGCATTGTTTCGAGCGTAGGTTAGACATGTATGCGAATAAGTTTTGATATATATAAATTGGAGCTGCCGCATATGGGCCAATAGGCCTTCTGTAACTTCCTTAATTTTAATGTTATTCTTGTTAAGATCCCGACACGGCTGACTGATCTATGTCTGCGTTTTAAAAACTTTTTTTTTTTTTTACTGGGACCCACAGCAAGAGCTGCAGTTTGGATTGGGACCCAGTATGGTCATCTACTATTGACACGTGATAAATGCATATATATATATATATACAGTATATATATATATATATACAGTATATATATATATATATATATATATATATATATATATATATATATATATATATATGTTCTATGCCTGGAACATATTAAATTAAATGATATATTTCTAATTTGTATGAAGAATATAGACAAATAAAAATACAACATTCTCATAAAATTCTAGCAAAAAAAAGACGATGAACAGTATTTTTAAAAAGGTTTTAATTTAATGAAAAGGATGTACTTCTTTTTGGAGGACAGGAAGACAATACTACGCCTCGATCTGGTGCAGTGTTCACTTCAGGTTTGTCTTTCATTTTTTAACTGAGCTAATGTGGAAAATCCTCGTTTTAAACAAATTAGTAATGAAGGGCAATAGTATTAAGAAAGACTCTTAAAAGTGGAAATTATCCTTTAACCTTAATCCAAAATGATGTCAAATGTAATTGCTCAAAAATGTAATTGCTCAAAAATGTAATTGCTCAAAAATGTAATTGCTCAAAAATGTAATTGCTCAAAAATGTAATTGCTCAAAAAATGTAATTTCTCAAAAATGTAATTTCTCAAAAATGTAATTTCTCAAAATGATGCATACCATCAGTCTCATGAATGGCGATGAGGGTTGAGTGCCAGTGACATTGTCACTCTCCCTTTTTTTTTCATTTTTATGGATTTTGTCTATCGCGATCCATTTTATTTATTTTGCAACCCACTAATGGGCCAGGACCCCACACTGTTTGGGTAAACCATGCTGTGTATTGTGTGGTGTGTGTGCTAGGGAGTACTCGGAGCGCAGGTTCGAATCCTTCCCGTGGCTACTACTGAATTTCTCGTTGATATATCACGTTAATGTCATTTCTTTGTGCTTGTGTATTGTGTAGTTCTTTTCATGTGGCTTCAGCTATAGTAAACTTCGGGTAATATAGACATTTCACGATAATAATCTGCTTATGGTATTATGGGCCTGATAGCTGAGTGGAGAGCGTTTAGGATTCGTTGTCCTGAAGTTCGGGGTTTGATCCCCCGGTGGAGGCGGAAACAAACGGGCAGTTTCTTTCATTATGATGTCCTGTTCACCTAGCAGTAAATAGGTATCTGGGAGTTAGTCAACTGCTACGGGCTGCTTCCTGGGGGTGTGTAACAAAGAGGAGACCGGGTCGAGGACCGGGCCACGGGGACGCTAAGCCCCGAAATCATCTCAAGATGTTTAGAATATATAAATTAACCTAAGCATCTATATTTTTGTAATATTTTATTGAAATTAGAATGAATGTTGCCTACTAGCCATTCATCTTAGAAATGCTTATGCACATATTTATAATAAAGTCGTTTCTTCTCAATATATCGAGAACAAAATATAATTTTCTAACGCAGTTACGCGTACAGAGTTTGTGAGTACTTTTACTGCTGTAAAGTAGCTGGTGTCCCATCTTAATACATTAGATGCAAGCCAGTGTATGAGTGTAGCTAGCACCTAGGTAGCCTATCTTGAGATGATTTCGGGGCTTTTTAGTGTCCCCGCGACCCGGTCCTCGACCAGGCCTCCACCCCCAGGAAGCAGCCCGTGACAGCTGGCTAACTCCCAGGTACCTATTTTACTGCTAGGTCACAGGGGCATAGGGTGAAAAACTCTGCCCATTGTTTCTCCCCGGCGCCTGGGATCGAACCCAGGACCACAGGATCACAAGTCCCGCGTGCTGTCCGCTCGGCCGACCGGCTCCCTTGCCTATGCCATTAGCACCTGAAATCATGGATTAATCGGTGAAATATTTACAATTTGTTGATTTTTTTGTGTATCAAACCTCAAATAATTTCCGACTTGTTCTAGAGTGCTAGAGTTTGCATTACATGTTTTAAAATAATACAAGTCTTCGTATATTTTTGTACATAAAATTTGTTAAGTATTTCAGACGTGAAAATAGTCAAAACTACGTCTGAAACCGTTTTTAAATGTTATTTTAGATTAGGCGCTGGAGCTGGGATTGGTACATGTTGGGAAACGCTGTCATTGTGAACAGGTAAGTGGCTTCACGCACACAGTTATTGCTCTGTATGAATGACTTAATGATATAGTCTCAGTTGGACAGTCCGACTCGGCTGGACAGCCCGACTCGGCTGGACAGCCCGACTCGGCTGGACAGCCCGACTCGGCTGGACAGCCCGACTCGGCTGGACAGCCCGACTCGGCTGGACAGCCCGACTCGGCTGGCCAGCCCGACTAGGCTGGACAGCCCGACTCGGCTGGAGACGGAAGCAAGTTTGTGGTGACAGTTGAGGACAATTATGTTTACAGCACACAGGTAAGAAAAGGTGCACGGCGCTGGTTTAATGTGATGTATACTAGAGAAAAACATAAACCTTGTTTTTTTGTATCTTGCCTGATTCCCTCTTTTGTTTTTCTTTGTGCGTGCTTGTCCTAAGTTTTGCGTGGGCAGTAAGTTTAGCATGTTGTGTTAACTAAAATTTACTGCCAGAGAAGAAATTGGCCATACATCGGTATACATCAGCTGCAGTATATCACAGCTTCATGTAAACTTGTTGTATCCTAAAATAAGCCATAAAAGTGCGCAAGAGTCAAGACAAGACAATAAAAGAAGTTGTATTTCCCATTATCTTGCTCACATTACCACGTTAGATAAGAATAGTTTATGCAGACGAGGAGTCACAATAACGTGGCTGAAATATGTTGACCAGACCACACACTAGAAGGTGAAGGGACGACGACGTTTAGGTCCGTCCTGGACCATTCTCAAGTCGATTGTGAGAATGGTCCAGGACGGACCGAAACGTCGTCGTCCCTTCACTTTATAGTGTGTGGTCTGGTCAACAAGAATAATTTAGTTTCGGTGAGACTGGAGGCAGAGTCTCACCGAAAGCAGTGGCTGCAGACTCGCCTACCAAATAACCATTACAGTTACTCTTTACTAACGACTCATCATTAACGGGCCGCGAAAATCTTGGCAAGACTTTAACAACATTAGTTTGATGTGGAGTAATTTACGTCTCGTCATACTGTTGAAGTACCAGTGCCTTCCCAATATATGAGTGGGATTGGGTGGTTATAAATTGGAGCTGCCTCGTATGGGCCAATAGGCTTTCTGCAGTTACCTTTGTTCTTATGTTCCCACGATTAGGCTAGCGTCTAATTTGATGTGATTTTGCCTAGCCATAAGCATACGACCTTGGACAACCCACCTTCGGTACCAAGGCCGACCTTCAGGCCAACGAAGGGGCCAGATTTGCGAAGATTTTAATTTCAGTAAAGCATGGGAATATTTACGCGAGGTTTGATAGCATCAGAATGCCAACAATGTGGGCGCCCTGCACGGGTGGGTCGGCTGCCGCTCGCCTGGCAGTTTCCCGCCTCGTCTGTACGATGTATGTGAAATTGAAATTGAAGTAAGTTTATTGAGGTAAAATACACACAAAGGGATGAGGTAGCTCAAGTTATTCTCACCCCGTTCAGTACATCGTGTTAATACATACATATACACACATTACAAACAATAAACATATTACCGAACATTCTGAGAGATAAACATATACATTTCCTCCTTCACAAGTAGTATGGTATCAGACGTACACATAAATACTTTTATGTGTGGATGTGTGTGTGTACCCTCCTGATGTTTTCTTGGGCAGTATTAAGTATTTGTTCATCTTATTTGGTGATTGTTCATAACCGGTGCAAATTTGTACGGTATTATAAGGTTATAATACCTTAAAATTTGCTCAGCTGAAGTTTTATTTTTTTAGGTCGGCCAAAATGTTTAGGCTGGCCAAAAACGTTATGGTCGCTCAGAAACGTTTAGGGTGGGTATACCCAGTTAGGTTAGCGAGTACATTAAACAGGGTGATTAACGCCGTTGAGGATGTTAATGGTGTTCTTTGATGATTTTCTGTATTAAAGCTCTGCCCAGGTGCAGAGAGCGACAGTAATTAAGACATACTGTGGCCAGCCGTCGACTTTAGTCGTGTTCTTCACTTGTTGTTAATAGCCGAGTGGTATTTGGGTGTGACGAGACCTCCAGGTGTGGTGACCAGCTCCTCTACACTCCTCTTCCTCCTCTTGTGCACCTCAGTTGGTTATCTTGAGATGATTTCGGGGCTTTTTAGTGTCCCCGCGGCCCGGTCCTCGACCAGGCCTCCACCCCCAGGAAGCAGCCCGTGACAGCTGACTAACACCCAGGTACCTATTTTACTGCTAGGTAACAGGGGCATAGGGTGAAAGAAACTTTGCCCATTGTTTCTCGCCGGTGCCTGGGATGGAATCCGGGACCACAGGATCACAAGTCCAGCGTGCTGTCCGCTCTGCCGACCGGCTCTCTAAAGCTTAATTATCTCCTAGTGGTATTTCGTGCTCCACGTTCTTGATGTTGTCCTCATTCTGGGTAAAGATCTTGTTCAGTAAGCTTAGTGTCGCCCTTTACCTACTGTGTTAAGAACTTTCTTTCCAGCACTAATTTTGCTCTCTCTAATCTTGCCAATCAATATCTCGAAGATTTAGGTCTCCCATAAGTAGTGCTCTAGCTTCATAACAGTGATTGTAACCATGATATATATGTACTTCAGCCTACAGTTTAGACCTATTGTCTTTTTTGTTTTTTTATTATTATTTTCTACCACAGACGTGGCCAGACATTTACAATGCTAACCAGCATATATACATTTTCTTCTGTCCTCCATGGACAGGATGAGAGAAGTGTTAAACATATAGTTCAAGGGTTTATTGAACACTCAACCACAGAAGGTGATTCGGTGCTTTTAAAATGGTAAGCTTAAAAAAGCACCGAATTGTCTTGTGTATGACCCTCTGTCCTGCTTGACAGTGAATACCAGCATTATCCTCACTTTAATAAGACTTAATCGAAATCCTCAGATTAGGCAAAATTGTAATTAATTTTGTCAATAAAGATAATAATAATAATAGCTCTCATTCTGTGTGCTGCTGTTGCTGCTCTCAGCAATTCGTCTATGTTGACCAGACCACACACTAGAATGTGAAGGGACGACGACGTTTCGGTCCGTCCAGAACCATTCTCAAGTCTATTCTTCAGCCACGTTATTGTGACTTATCGCCTGAATTCGTCTATGTATTCTTTCTTGTCATGGCATTCCTATCTGGGCCTTCTGTTGCTTACCCGCTCGACCGGTTCTAGGACCTGTCAGTGCTGTGGCAGGAATGTCTTGGGGGTTGTAAATTACCAGGATCACTATCCTTTTCCCATCTGCTGTCAGTCCCAGTGAAGGAGTCTGGATCATTTATATTTTAATTTTCAAGTACCTGGAGCTTCCACTTTAGTCTTAGAAGAACAACTCCTTTTCTAGTTTTTTTTCTTTCCTTATTACTTGGTATCTTACTGGGAATATATTTTTGTTTCCTCTATTGCAGTTACATCAGGTTCTTTTGTTAACCCTTTATTTCCTCTGCTTTATTTGTAATGCCATCAGCGTTGGTGTACCATACCTTATGGCTCTTCTTGGTGTGGGGAAGGTGTGGGGGAGGAACAGTGAGTGTGGGGGAGGTGTGGGGGAGGAACAGAGAGTGTGGGGGAGGTGTGGGGGAGGAACAGTGAGTGTGGGGGAGGTGTTACCACCACTCGCAGAGATGAAGTATCACAGGGAACGTGTTGGTCTGTGTCGTGCGTGTTGAGGGGCGAGGTAAGTCATTACATGAAAAAGAAAGTGTTAATCCTGTATGCTATATACCCGGGCTTGTGCGTGGCGGGGGGGGGGGGGTAATGCGCGTGCGCATGTGTACTCGCCTAGATGTGCTGGCTGGGGTCGAGTTCGGCTCCTGGCCCCGCCTTCACAACGCTCTTTATCATATTTACATTTAATATCGTGCATTTGGTTAGCTTCAACGACTACTTCATCAACTCCACTGCGGGCTCACCATAGCCCGTGCTACTTTGACCTTTTTGTTCCAGGTAGCGAATCTTTAACAACAACAACGACTACTTCATCTAAGTACCTGTTCCACTTTCTGGCGACTCTTAATACTGGAAATTTTGTTCTGACATGTAACTCGTATGTGTCTAGTGTTCATTGTTCAGTTGTTCAACGCTTTGTGTTGTGTCTGTATTGTTAATTACCCCTTTTAGTATGTTGTATGTCGTTGTCATGTGCCCCCCCTGTCTCGCCTCTCTCCCAGTGTGTGGCGAGGTCCACTTCTCTCTTTCCTCATATCTCCAACCCTTCAGCACTGGAACCAGGGCTTATATTCTCTGATCGTTTCAAGTGTTGATTTGTGGTTTTTTCAAGATTTAGATATTGAAGAGTTGGTCTCAGGTAGACAGTATAGAGGACCCAGAAGGACCGTTGCAGCGTCTGCAAACATTGATATGAAGGAGCCACTTTCTTGTGTGAGGCCATACTTTGAGGTTACCTTGAGGTGCTTCCGGGGCTTAGCGTCCCTGCGGCCCGGTCGTCGACCAGGCCTCCTGGTTGCCGGACTGATCAACCAGGCTGTTGGACGCGGCTGCTCGCAGCCTGACGTATGAGTCACAGCCTGGTTGATCAGGTAAATTGACATATTTTGGAAACTGTACGGGCTCCGCACTGGCCCTTGCGGGGCTCCACTCGTGTCCTCCACTCTCATACCTGCTCACGCCTGGGTAAGTGTGTGTGCTGGCCTGTTTGTGCCTGCAGGATCGAGCTTTAGCTCTTACACCCCACCTTTCTAGCCGTTGGTTGTCCAAATGCAATGACTCCTGCCTCTTTTTTGATGATTGATTCTTGTCGCCGGTGGCGGTTAGTTTATTGTGCACCCCATACTCATCCTGTGAGCGGTAGCGCAAAAAAAGCATTACAGAGGGCACAAAACGTCTTTTATCAGACCTCAATGGAGATTATTCCATATTTCCCCTATTGCTGTCATGTCTACTTGTGAAATTATGACTGGAGTTCACTTCTACAACCTGCTCATATTGGAACATATTCCAACTCTGCAGTTTGTGTATGTGTGGCGGGGGCGTGTGTGTGGACTCGCATGCTTGTAGGAGTAAAACAGAGGAAAGAAACGGGGAGGAAGAGGATAGAGGGTGGACAGGAAGTCTGATTTATATTTAGGGGGGGAAAGAGAGGGAGGAAGGGAGTAAAGGGTAGGAGGGAGGGAACTATTAGGGGAAAGCGCCAAGCCATTACGACTATATAGCACTTGGAAGGGGTCAGGATAAGTTGACCAGACCATTCTCAAGTCGATTCGACTTGAGAATGGTCCAGGACGGACCGAAACGTCGTCGTCCCTTCACCTTCTAGTGTGTGGTCTGGTCAACATACTTTAGCCACGTTATTGTGACTCATCGCCTGCGGTCAGGATAAGGATCTGGGATAGGACGGGGGGGAGGAATGGTGCCCAACCACTTGGAGGGTCAGGGATTGAACGCTTGACCTGCATGAAGCGACCGTCGCTCTACCGTCCAGCCCAAGTTGGGCATAAAGGGTAGGAGGGAGGGAAGTGACACAGACGGTGTAGACAGTACCAGGAACACTACCAAGTGTGAGAGAGGACGGAGAAAGCTGAGGGAAGCAGTAGAAAGTGGAGGTGAGGGGATGGACCTTGCCCGTCGCATGCCCAATTACCAGTATGGCGGCGGCGTGCTGTGCATGACGGCTCTCCTCTACCACCAGCCTCTCCTCCTCCTCCCTGTCTCCGACCATTTGGTCACCATTTGGTCCGGGAGACATCTCCCGTCACGCAGGATGCAGTCGCGCCTCCACAGATCTCCAGTATCATCTCTTGATACTGGTAATGGCTCAAAAAGGCCACCACTTACGGGCTATTCATGCCCGTGCCACCTCTTGGGTGGCTTAATCTTTATCAATCAATGACCTAGCCAAGGGAGACATCTCCCGTCACGCAGGGTGCAGTCGCACCTCCACAGATCTCCAGTACCAGCTCTTGATACTGGTAATGGCTCAAAAAGGCCACCACTTACGGGCTATTCATGCCCGTGCCACCTTTTGGGTGGCTTAATCTTCATCAATCAACCCAGTCTCCTCGCCCTCGGGTTGATATTGTGTGTGGTTGGGCCGGGTTGTCTAACCCCAGGTGTCGTGGTGCTGGAGTTGTTGAGAGAGCAACCTCGCCTCTCACTTCACGCACCACACTTTGGACCAAGTCTCAAAATTGATTTTTTGTTTAATCTTCGTGAAAAAGATGACTTTCTGGGACTGTTGCTCAACGGGCCTCGATAGGTCAGGTGGGATGAGTAGCGTCTTACGCTTCTGATTAAACAGACTACTGCATATTTGATGCATGTCAGATGGTGGACTATATGGGTAAGTGCGCCTGGACTTATTGGTATATCACCAATACCTAACGGTAGCAGGAGACCAAGATGGCCACAGCCTCAGCTTCGCCACACACAACGACACACCTGAAACGCCACAATTGACACAGGTGGATCTTAGCACCTTAAGTAACAATGAACCTGTGCCACGGGCGCTGTGGGCATCCCGCACTACCACCACCACAAGCAGGGACGTCGGCCACCCAACCACCTCTCAATATTCACAGCACAATTGTATGCCCTGTACCAAGCTCTAAAAATATCAACACTACCACCAGTTGGGATCACAATGAGCAGCGTCTCCAGGAGTGTGAGTGAAGCCGTTACACAGCGCTGCAGATATGCCAAGAGCTCGCCCATGCATTCCTGCATGTTTCAGAAGGATATGACATATCCATCCAGTGTGTCCTGGCACAGTGTGGAATACTCCACAGGGAACTTGTAGATCAAGTAGCGATGCACGCCACAGCTGTCATCACACACCTGGCAACTGTGGCACATGTTAGACCTTACACCAGAGGAATAGGTATAAGAGTGACGAGGCACCAAACTAGCAGTATTAGGTTATAATTGAACCTTTGCACCCACTGTCATGTTCCGGAGACAGTTGAACATGACCTCCTTCACTGGGAACCAAAAGTTCCAAGTAGCACGGGCTATGGTGAGCCCGTAGTGGACTTACCTGGCACAGGAGCGGGGCTGTAACTTCACTGGCTAATCGGTTAACAACCCAATTACTGCTGGATGAATACGCGCGAAGAGTTACGAGTTGACACCATTGACACCTTTACACCAAAAGTTGACACCTTTTTGACACCATTGTGCCAGAGTCAGTGTCAAACAAGAACTTATCACCCACACACAAAGCGCCCTTCAACACGGAGCACTAAACAGGAGGAAAACTCTCACGACACAAAATGTCAAGTTGTCAAAGCATTGAACAAAAAATTACTTTTTAATTGTTTAAGTTTTCTTCTGGAAGATTTCATTCAGTACTTCGAGAAACTCATCTTTTTGAAATAAGACCAAAAATACTCCACAGAAGCAACATTTAACCATTTTTAATCTTTTTAAGTGTCGCCTCCATGTATATTTTTAGTTTTTACTTTGTTTAGCTTGCGCGCAATATATTAAGATTCAGTGTATTGACACGCGAGACTTACCTATGATCATAGAACTAATGTTCCTTTTGTTATGCTGGAGCTCCAGTATGTAGTTGGTGAAGGGATTTGCTTGGATGTTCACATCACCATAGAGCAAGGCTCGGGAACCTCTGGCACACGTGCCAAAGGTGGCATGCAAGCGACTTGAAGTGAAACCCGAGGCTCACATTAAAAAATAAATATTCCCCCCCCAACCCCACATTACCAGGCCAGAAGATTAGCAAGAGGCTCGACAAGTTGATTTAATTATGATTTAAGTGTCTGAGCTAAATATGAGTATGCTGTATATAATTTAGTTTGAAAATGATTTTTAGTTTGATGTAATATGACGGTGTGTAAATTTGTCAGCCTTGAGCATAAAAGGGATTTTGTGAGCCTTTTTGAATAGCAGTAATTTGAAGTATTTTAAGTGACTTAAAACTATGTAGTGAAACTTGTTAACCTCGTTTGATTATCAACAAACAAATTATTGACGGTAATGTAAGACTTTAGTGCATAATTGTACCTGACAAAATGTTCATTACCTGGTTGATACCTGGTTGATACGTGGTTGATACCTGGTTGATGGGGTTCTAGGAGTTCTTCTACTGCCCGAGCCCGGCCCGAGGCCAGGCTTGACTTGTGAGAGTTTGGTCCACCAGGCTGTTGCTTGGAGCGGCCCGCAGGGCCACGTACCCACCACAGCCCGGCTGATATTAAATAAGTTTCATGCAGACGATGAGTCACAATAACGTGGGTGGAGATATGGCAGCAGAAAATGTCGACACGACGACCTTTTTCGTCCATGTGTGACGACCAAAACGTTGTCGTTTTTCCATTTTCTCATGTGTGGTTTGGTCGTCGTAAATGTAATATATACAAAATTGCTTTTGATCCGCTACATGGTTAACTATTGCTTCAGGTGTCTGTCTCTTTACGTGTCACCTTAACTAATGCTAACTTACCAAGCATAAGTTGACCAGACCACACTAGTAGGTGAAGGGACGACGACGATTTGATTCTTGCCGCCGAAGGCGACTAGTTTATTGTTCACCCTATACTCATCCTGTGAGCGGTAGCGCAAAAACATTACAGAGGGCACAAAAAGGTCTTTATCAGATGACGTTTCGGTCCGTCCTGGACCATTCACAATCGACTTGAGAATGATCCATAACGGACCGAAACGTCGTCATCTCTTCACCTTCTAGTGTGTGGTCTGGTCAACATATTTCAGCCACGTTGTGACTCCTCGTCTGCATAACCAAACATAACCGTATCTAGCCAAACGTAGCTCCATACTGCGTACACAGATGTCAAGAAGTGTATGTTGTTGTTGTTATAGATTCAGCTACTCGGAACAAGTTCCAAGTAGCACGGGCTATGGTGAGCCCGTAACTTACCTGGCACAGGAGCGGGACAAGAAGCACGGGCTACGGTGAGCCTCGTGGACGGGAGATGTCTCCCATGCGAGAAGTGTACTTGTAATGTTATTAAGATGTCATGCAGGCGAGTGTGTGGTAAGATACGTGGAGGGGAGAGTGGTGGGGGTGCTAATTAGCGAGGCTGTGTGGGTGGGGAGGTGATCTCTTGTGCAAGTGGGCAACCTGGTTGAAAGGACTGCGCATGCGTACTGAATATTATGGCTGCGGCAAAGAGGAAAGTTGTGCTCCAGCGAAGGTCCGCATTGACCGGCGCGGGGCCGCAGGTGGGCCGCAGTGATACCTCGAACCCCGGACACAGCAGCACCCGCCACCTCGGAGAATTTATCGTTGCTTTCAGAAAGTCATCGGTGGCGGAGGAGAGTGCGAGGAGCTCCCGTGACAGTGGCAGGCGGTGCAGGAAACTACAGGCAGCAGCGGCTGTAAGACGAAGCCAGTTGTGCTTCACCCTTAATGGTGAAGAGATTCGGAACACCAGCGAGAAGGTCCGAACATTTCTCATCACAGAGGAAATGTCTCTAATGGAGAAGACGAAGAAGTTGAGAGCTTACGATCCGGCCATCAAACGCCCCGCTGCCCAGAGGGAGTCGTTGCGATGTAGGTAGGTGGCGCTGTATGCCCTCCTCTGGAATACCTTTAGCTCCTCAGCCCCGCCTCTGAATCCTGGGGTTTCTCGTGCATGCATTTTAATTGGTTTATATTGCTTCTACTCCTAGTGCGGTGTTACTCACTGATTGAACTTGTGTATTATGTTACTTGGTTTGTGCATTCAGTTTAGGTCCCAATAAGTCTTTTTACGTCCAAGAGGTAGGACCATCGTCCTAGTCCCACCTCTGGTGTGACCCCTTTCTCTCGTCCCACCTCTTGTGTTCCGTCTGTCCTTGGTGCTCTAGTGGGCACGCGTCATTCTGGCAAAGATGGAGCATGACTGATGGAGATCTTGTTGACGGAATGAATTTTTTTTTTATCCGAAAAGGATCGGCTTAGCTGCAGTCATTGGTGGCTACGTCGGTCCCAGTTAAGTCTCGCTTGAGTTCAAGGAACACACTTTGTTCCTTGAGGCACTCGTCTGTGAACACACTCAGGCATCCACTCGGGAACTCTTGTAGTGCCAGCTGTTGACACAACCGATTGGATCCAAGTTTGAAACATTCTTTTGAGATTAGAATGATAATTTTTGGATAGGAGAGAGAAAGAGAGAGAGAGAGACACACACACACACACACACACACACACACACACACACACACACACACACACACACACACACACACACACACACACACACACACACGGGTATTGAACATAACCGAGCAAATATAGCGGCGGCGGCCAGGAAAATGATAGGATGGATTATGAGAACGTTCACATCCAGAGACCCCACAGCAATGTTAATACTATTTAAATCACTGGTCCTGTCCCGTCTTGAGTACTGCTCAGTACTCACTTCCACTCTCAGAGTGGGAGAGATCGATGAATTAGAGGGAATACAGAGAACATATACGGCACGCATACACACGATAAAACACCTAAATTATTTGGACCGTCTCAAAGCTCCCAAAATGTACTCTCTGGAAAGGAGACGAGAGAGATATCAAATAATATATACATGGAAGATACTGAAGGACCAGGTCCCAAATTAGCACAGTAGAGTAACAACATGCTGGAACACACACAGAGATCACACTAACGTGATGCATCAAATGAACAAATCCACAAGGGCCGTGACGAGGATTCGAACCTGCGTCCGAGAGCATGCTGGAACGTATAATCGTCGTTCCCATGGTCCTTGGTTTGTGTCCAGTCGTTCCCCATGGCCCTTGGTTAGATTTATGCGAGGCGGTGTGTGTGTGTGTGTGGGGGGGGGGGGAGGCCTGGTGGAGGGGGGACCACCTCCCAAATATATATGACAAAAACAAAAGATTTTTGTATGCGCATGTGAAACAATAACATTATTACTGAAGGTACTGAGTCAGGTGTGTAGCAGGTGTGGTGGACCTGGTTGTTCCACACCTGGTGAAGGTACTGAGGTAGGTGGTGGACCTGGTTGTTCCACACCTGGTGAAGGTACTGAGATAGGTGTGTGGCAGGTGTAGGACCTGGTTGTTCCACACCTGGTGAAGGTACTGTGGTAGGTGTGTGGTGGCAGGTGTAGGACCTGGTTGTTCCTCACCTGGTGAAGGTACTGAGGCAGGTGTGTATCAGGTGCAGGACCTGGTTGTTCCACACGTGGTGAAGATACTGAGGCAGGTGTGTCACAGGAGAGTGTGGAACAGTCTCGGGCCTCTGATGTTGACAGAGTTCAACATCACCTTACGTATAACACATTAGCTTTTCCATGGGGGCTTTTCTGCACATCCTGCCATGCCTTCTGGTCTCATGTGGTGCTATTTCTGTGTTCAAATTTAGAACCAGTCCTTCTAATATTTTCCACGTGTAGATTATTATGTACCTCTCGCCTGCGCTCTAGAGAATACACATTTAGAACTTTTAATAGATTCCAATAATTTAGATGACTTATAAGAGTGGATTTTAACAGTATTGGATCGTGGCCCTGCGGGCCGCTCCAAGCAACAGCCTGGTGGACCAAACTCTCACAAGTCGAGCCTGGCCTCGGGCCGGGCTTGGGGAGTAGAAGAACTCCCAGAACCCCATCAACCAGGTATATGTTGGCCTGCGGGCCGCTCGAAGCAACAGCCTGGTGGACCAAACTCTCTCAAGTCAAGCCTGGCCTCTGGCCGGGTTTGGGCAGTAGAAGAACTCCCAGAACCCCATCAACCAGGTATCACCCTAGAGAGCACTAGTGTTCTGAAAGAGTATCATCAGTGGTATGGCAGCTCTTGTTTGAAAGGTCTTGTTATCCAACCTGTCATTTTTTTGCAGTCGTGACGGCTACTTTATTGTGTTCTTTGAAGGTAAGGTCTTCCCACATGAGTACTCCTAGATCCTTTGCAGTGCTTTTTTGTTGAGTTATAGTGTGATTTGGCTGTGTTTTATATATGGTTTGCGTTTTTTTTTTATTTTCGGGTTTTTCATATGGCGGGAGCTGGAACTTGTTATTTATTAAACATATTATCTGTGGGACATTGAAAGATTTACATCAGGTTGGAGGTTTGGTGTGTCCTCTATATTGTCTACTGGCATGAAGGTCCTGGTGTAAATGATGATACACTACTATAGTGTGTATCCTTGTCTGTGTCTGATATGAGGATGGGGAAAAGTACCGGAGGCAGCACAGTACCTTGCGGGACTGAACCTTTCACGGTAGATCATCCGGATTTTATTTTGTTGACTGTTACACTCTGCGTTCTGTTCGTTAGGGAGTTGAAGAGCCATCTCCCAGTTTGCTAGTACAGTAATGAGAGAGAGAGAGCATTTTGTGCGGGTTAAAACCGTGGACACATTTGTTGAAAGTTTCTGCAAAAGTCTGTGTGTGTTACATCTGCGTTTTGTGTGTCTCCCGTAACACCTTTGACCTTGTCATAGTGGTCAGGCAACTGTGAGAGGCAGGAGCACTATTCTCAACCCGTGCTGCCCGGGGGTTATGTAGATGTAATTCCACGTGATTTGTAATCTTGTTTCTTAGCACTCTTTCAAAGATTTTTATGTGTGAAGCTGGGGTTATTGGTCATTTTTTTGCATCTGCTTTACTACCTCCTTTGTGTAGTGGTGTAATCTCCGCTGTTTAGAGTATGTCAGGGATGACACCAGTATCTAGGCCCTCTCTACAAATGATGTTCAGGACCTGTGATAGTCGTGATTGATGAAGATTAAGCCACCCAAAAGGTGGCACGGGCATGAATAGCCCGTAAGTGGTGGCCCTTTTGAGCCATTACCAATATCAAGAGCTGATACTGGAGATCAGTGCAGGTGCGGCTGCACCCTGCGTGACGGGAGATGTCTCCCGTGGCGATAGCCGTGATTCATTGATTAAAAAATATTAAGCCACCTAAGAGGTGGCACGGGCATGAATAGCCCGTAAGATACCTTACCTTGAGGTTACCTTGAGGTGCTTCCGGGGCTTAGCGTACCCGCGGCCCGGTCGTCGACCAGGCCTTCTAAAGTGGTGTTTTGTAATGGAGATATATATATTGAATCCGAGGAGTGCTGGGCCTGGTGCAGTGCGCGGGCATGCTGTCTAAGGCTACTTCACAGTCACGTGGGGTTTGGGGTGACATCTGGTACATGGTTCCATGTTGCTGTCACATTTATAAAGAATTCGTTTACATGATTGATCTTCAATGTGTTCACGTGGAAATGTATACATATACATATAGATCAGAAGTATAATACACAGAGGATACGCAGCAGAATGCATGCTATATATATATACAGGCGAGGGACCTCGTGTTCACTAAAAGTGCATGAATCATACACAGTTCACCAAACATACGTACACAGAATACAAAGTGTATAGGAGAAAGCTTGTACGTGCACAGTGGATGGTCAGCACATGTACACCAGAAGAGATGTACACTGGTAGGTGAGGTGTACACACACACACACACACACACACACACACACACACACACACACACACACACACACACACACACACACACACACGAAGGATGGACGCTAGCATAACAATCCGCGTCACTTCACATATACAGACATTTATTAATTCCAGTATTGATCAGGATGCAATGCTTGAAGACGAAGTTGAATATGCAACTCACCGCAACCGAGAAACACACTCCACAGTCAATTGGTTCTATCCAGTTAGATGGGGAAGTTGGGGCTCAGTGGGTGTGGTGCGACCTATTCCCGCTCCTCCTACCATACTACAGTTCAACAGTCAGTCCTGTTACAATGTCAGCACCAGTTAGTGAGGGCAGCGAATGCTGTGTTGCAGTGAGAATAGGTCAGCCATTTATAGTGTACCCACCCTGTACTGTTATGTACCCTGTATTGTACTTGTATAGAGTACTCATACACTGTACTCACCTAGTTGTGTTTGCGGGGGTTGAGTTCTGGCTCTATGGTCCCGCCTCTCAACCGTCAGTCAACAGGTGTACAGGTTCCTGAGCTTACTGGGCTCTGTCATATCTACATTTGAAACTGTGTATGGAGTCAGCCTCCACCACATCACTTCCTAGTGCATTGCATTTACTGTGTGTGTGTGTGTGTGTGTGTGTGTGTGTGTGTGTGTGTGTGTGCGCGCGTGTGCGTGCACCTCCGCGTCCGTCTAAGAGCAGTTCAATCCACCTCCCAAACCGTTCAAGTCCGGTAGTATCCGGTAAATTGTCCCAGCCAATTAAGAGATCAGAGTTCTTGTTAACCTTCCAAGTGCTACGTATTTCCTCTAGATAATTCACCCTTCCCTGCAGTTATACCTTCAATGAAGGCCATTTTCATCTGGGTATATTTGGCTGTAACTGCTTTACTGGTTGTTGCGTAAATGGTATAATGCTTCTTAGTCTCTCGCAGTAAAAGTTGATTAGTGATCGAGTCATGTCTTAATGATATTCAGCTTTGAAAACAATTCCCAGTTGACTGCAAATGACTTTGAGGACATTGTTCTAATGTTGGAAGTTGTATCCGAGTTACTAATGTTTCCACAAGGTCCATCCGGAGCCTGTGTGTGTGTGTGTGTGTGTG